CTGCGGAGAAAGGCGCGCATTTGCTTCTCGTTTCCGTTGACCATCATCACCAAGATCACCAAGGTCGGACCCATCACTACTGAGGCTGGTAACTATCGTGGCCTCCAGGTCGTGCTCAAGGACTTCCGCACCTACTACTTCTGCTCCATTCCCTTCACCTCCATCCGGAAACCCAAGGTACTTGCGTTCTTTTATTATAATAATAAGAATTGTTTTTTATTGTTGTTATTATTATTTGATGAGCTGCTGACCGTGCGCCACGTGCTGTGGATGTGAGCACAGATGGATACCTTCTTTCAGGTGCTTGAGGATCACACCTTCCCGACTCGCTTGAGCGATTTCTTCGCCTTCGCCCATCGAAGCGCGCTGGCGGCCGAAGCCGAGTGTCCCAAGGTCAATGCCCGCACGCCACACTACAGCCGAGCCGTGCGCAAGGCCATCGCAGGTACCCTCCCTAAAACTTGATTTACTTTTATTTTGCTTCATTTTTTTAGTAAAAGCAGACCAATAAGAAAAATTTGGATCCCATAATTTATTTTGTGAGTCACACGCTTAAATTAGGAAAAAGCGAAGCGGTGCGTGTTACTTGATCTTATTTGATCCTTCTGCGCCCTTGCGCAATGCAAGTGGCGCGGATCGAAAATGAGAACAATCCGAGCCTGAGCCATCCACGACGATGTTCCTCGTTCACTTATTTTTTTAATCTCCAATTCTTCTCTCTCTCCTCTTTGTCGCGTGGAGGCGATGATGCCACACACACCCAAAATACGACAAAAACAAAATGAAAACGATAAAATGATACGCTAATGCGCGGCGCACACAGAGCCGCATCTGGCCTCGTGGAAGGCCGAGTCGCCGCTGATCCACTTCAGCGATGGATTTGCCTCGGCCGACAGCGGCGATTCATTCCCCACACGCCGCTTCCCGCGCGTGGGGCGTGCCCGACAGCCGCTCTCGCGAAGCGAGCGGGAGCGACTCATCAACGAACAAGCCGCCCGATCCGGGGACGCCAGCCCAACAACCGACGGCCAGCAGAACATCGACCACGAAAGCGGATCAAGCGCAAGTGCAGCACAAGGTGCAGATGGGAGCACATTGGGCCACGTCGAAGAGCTGGGCCAGCTGAAAAGCGAGCTCTTTGGCATGGCGTCCCAATCACCCGTCGCAGCTCCGCTCTTCGCGAAGGAGGTCGAAGCCAGGTGGGCCGCCACTAAGCCGCCAAGGTAGGTTGATGACGTCACCACCCGCCGCGCACTACCCACCTATCTGAAGCATTATACTAATTTTAATAATCTCTTCTGAACAGTGCTTCGCCGGAGCCGAAGGATAGGGACAAACTGCTAAGCTCGCCCTTCCTGTCATCGCGCACCATCGCACAGAACGGGTGGGAGCTCTACTTGCCCATGGACGACTACGGCCGGCTAGAGCTGGACGTATCGCCCTGGCGCATCTCGCCCATCAACTGGGACTACAGCCTGTGCGAGACCTATCCCCGGTAAGTGCCAGCGCAGTGCAGCCACCCCCTTCTAGTTGATGATGGTCGCCAGTTCCTCATGGTGGTGGTGGTTGTTGGTCTCGCCACAGCCTACTGGTGGTGCCGGCCTCGGTAAGTGACGAGGACATCAAGCAGGTTAAGCAGTTCCGCAGCAAGGGCAGAATTCCTGTGCCGACGTGGCGCCACAAGGAGAGCGGGTCCATTATCGTGCGGTGCAGCCAACCTAAAACCGGTATGTTGCTCGGTCGGCTGGCTGGTCGGCGTGAAGCTTCGAGTCGCTCACTCGGGCTTGGGCTCGGATTCATTCGGTGATCGCTACAGGTCTGTTGAGCGACCGCTCCGAGCAGGATGAGAAGCTGGTATCATCCATCAGGCAGGCCTGCGGCACCAAATGCACGGTGTACCTCATCGACGCCCGACCGAGGGTAAACGCAGTCATGAATACTCTTACTGGTGCCCAAGCCCCGCCTTTCGTTCGTTCGTTCGTTCGTTCGTTTGCTGTCGTGTTGATCGCGATGTCTAACGACACACGATGGGACCATCGACATAGGTGCCGGGGTGGAGAACGCGGCGGTGTACAACATTCACCACGACAATCGGATATTCTTGGGCATCCCGAACATCCACGTCGTGCGGGACAGCGGCTCGCGGCTTACCAAGATCATCGACGTGTGGAACCTCACCACGACGCTCAATGATATGACAGGTAACTAACATTTCAACAATTATTCATTTGTTATTTTAACTAACAATGTTTGGTGTAATTTGCTGACTTGCGCTCGCCAGGAGCCGACGGCGTCACAGGGTCCCACGATCCCATTCAAACGTCGGGTGCGGACAGCAGCGAACGCCTGGCGCAGAAGCAGACCGAGCTGCGGTTGCTCGACAAAGGTGTTGGACACGGGGTGGCTGGACCACATCACCGCGCT